ACGCGGGGAATCTTGAGAGGGTCCAGAGGAGGGCCACTCGCATGATTAGTGGCCTTCGTGATAGACCCTACGGGGGGAGGTTGAGAGAGCTGAACCTCTTCAGCCTTCACAAGAGACGGCTGAGGGGAGATCTTGTGGCCACCTATAAATTTATTAGGGGAGGTCAACGGGGAATAGGGGAAGTGCTGTTTACTAAGGCGCCCCAGGGAGCGACTAGGAATAACGGGTGTAAACGAGAGTGGATTTAGGTTAGATATTAGGAAGGAATTTTTCACAGTAAGAGTGGCCAGGATCTGGAATGGGCTTTCAAGACAGGTGGTGCCATCACCTAGCTTGGAAGTCTTCAAGAGGAGGCTAGATAGTCACCTGGCTGGGGTCATCTGACCTCAGTCCTCTTTCCTGCCAGAGGCAGGGGGTCAGACATGATAATTCATTGTGGTCCCTTCCGACTCTACAATCTATGAATCTATATATATTATGTACTAAGTTTATGGATATTCAATATGGAGATGTATTAAAAACAATTCTTCAATTGATTAAAAAGTGGCAGTTATTAACTTACACAAGCAGACTTTTTTTCTACATGCCAGAAAAAATTCTCCTTGCTAAATAACAAGTATTTAGTTCCTCAGTTTACCTGGATCTGGTTCAAAGTAGCATCATTAGACAGTCGCATGGAAGTAGGTGGGCTATTCCCCATTCTGAGAAAAAAAAAAAAAAGACTAAGCATTTAAACGCTCTAAAAAAAGCACTCATTTTTATGGTTCACGAGTTATATTAACAGGATACTAAAGATTGGTGTCAAATCAACATTTTCTAACATGCCCCCCCCTGAAATCTGCATGCTAATTGCTGAAGTCTGGCTCAAGACTGTACTCTGTTTGGGACACAGACTCTTAACCTGTGCTCTCTCAGGTGGTCTAGTGCCCAGGATTATGTACAAGGACTGGACCTGTTTGGGACTTTTATAAAAGGTCAGTTATGGCCCTGGCTGCAATCAATGCATACTGCAATGTCAAAATAATGTGCCACATCTAATGGTAGTAACATTCCAGGAAACACTAAAACATACTGCACGTGCCCCAGAATTTCAGAAGAGTGACAGCTTTCCCACCAGACACCACACACCCAGCCATGCCTCGTAATTTTGTTTCTGCAGACCAACACCTACACGGCCAAGGCCCAGCGGGGAAAACATGACAGAAGAGTACCTTAAAAAATGACACTTCCAAGCCTCCTTTGCCCTGCAAGTACATAAAGGCATAAAGTCATAGAGAAGTAGGGCTGGAAGGGACCTCCGGAGGTCATCTACTCCACCCCGCTGCTTGAGGCAGGATCATCCCTATCCAAACCTTCCCGCATAAATCATAATGTGAACTACACAAGCCTACTGTAAGGCCTGACACAGCACGGACCTAACACCCGAACCAGCCCCAAGTAAAGCAGGGGGATCAGGGCAGCCAACATCTTGTTTCTATAAAAGGTGAATGCACGCTCAGGAGATCCCAGGAACAGGATCGTACTCCCAGTTAAGGTAAGGAGAAAGGTAAAAAAAATGCCCATGTCTATACCAGTCAGAGCATGGCCCCAAATACAGTGATTGGTCTGTTCCTGAGGGTGAGACCCTCTAATCACAAGCCGCTGGCTTTGGCCCCAGCAGGAGCTTTGGCATGCCCACAGGCACACCACAGGAGCCCTTGGCGCACCCCAGGGGCCCAGGCACCTCACAGCCACACCCCAAGCAGATGGAAACAGCAGCAAGAGTCATCTGTGGCCTTTTTCTTAGAAGGCTTAAAAACCGGGTCCGGCCGCCCGCTGCCTGCTGCTTTGCAAGCCCGTGACCATGAAGCGCTGGGGCTGGCGGGGCCCGTGGGAACAGCTGGAATGAAGCCTTTTACCCCGGACCAAGTGTCGGGCCGGGCCGTGCACTGATCCCGAGGACGCTCCGGCCCCGGGCACCGCCCCAGGAGCCAGCCCGCC